CTCACAGCTTCATGTAGAGATTCCCAGCTACTGTGCAGTTCCCCAGACGATACCACAAGTGCACATCGCAAAGATAATGTGTGGCAAGTAATTACTTGACCATGAAGATTGAAGATTCTGTGCTCAAAATAGAGGTGGTTGTTAGGACCATATTTAGTTATTTTTGGCACTGGCAACGATTTAAGATTTTTTTGACCACAAAATGTTCTGACCTAGCCATCTTACTGATAGTGTAGTCGAGCCTTTGCCGGTTAGCTAAAAATTTTGCCAACTTGCTCTCAACACTAGTGTTATGGCTTTTAGAAGTGCATTCAACACACTGTATGCTGTGGGGATCCAGACTGCAGTGCACGATGAAAGAAGAGTGTGTTCGCTGCGGCGTATTCTTGTCTCTGCAAAGGACTCCCATTCCTTTCTCACCAGTGTTTGAAATTACCACCGGGTTCTCGTGGGACAGCTCTCTCCAGACTGTGGGTTGCATGAGAATACAGTGGCAACCAGCTACCCAACACTTGGGACTATTACTGTGATAATTACTTTATTTATTATAATATACAGCATCATATCACTTTCCCCTCCTTCCTCTTCCCAATATGCTATAGTATAACAACTCGCAGTAGCTACCGCAGCGGTCTGCTGCAACTCTCTACCACACTCTAAATGGGTGTGTTATTATGGTTTATAATGGGCAGAGAGACCTATACATGTCAGCATGTGATGCCTTTTTTAAACCATGTATCCATAGACTCACAGTAAGAAGGCCTCCGGCGGCCTGTCAGTGACATTTGAATTCACTCAAAATAATCCGCCAGCACAATCGACGTCCAGAGCTGAATGTGTCTCCTTCTTTCCGAGCTCTCCGTAGGTACTTTTCTGCCGCCACGTGTCTTACCTCCCGTAATTACTGCCAGGGTATAGTTGGTCTCAGCAGAGCTGGCTCTATGGCTACTGCTGACTGCTGGACTGGTTCATGCACTTTGGTGGTCTCTCATCGGATGTAGCTTCTCCTGACCCACCATCTTCCTGTTGTCAAAGTATAGTTTCTATTATAGACCTCGCACCATCGTCCTGATGTCAAAGTATAGGGTTGCTATTAATAGACTTCTGGCACATCTTCATGTAGCAATATAGGTCCTAAAGATGGTCACTGTCTCTATTAGTAGACTCTGGCCACCATGTTCCCGTGGCGAAGTTAAAGTCGCTATAATAGGGGCCTCGAGTGAATGAGTGCACGGTTTCTATTCTAATAGCTCGAGAGGCGTGATTGTTAAGTTGGAAAAAATGGTTGAGTCATGGAAAAAAAATAACTTTGCTTCAAAGAATTTACCGCCTTAAATAAGAATAGTACAATACTGTGGCATACCAGTGTGAGCTTCAGGATGATGTCGTCTCCAGGGAACTGCTTGAGAGATAGTAGTAGCTAGCTTCCTTTCGAGAACGACTCGTGTTGGTCTTAATCACGTTACCCAGTTCACCGCGTAGACGGTGATCATGCGATTACCAATGTGAAACACCCATTTCTTTCTCCTTCTGGCAACTAGATTTAGAGCACCCGTTCAGGTACTGCAGTGTGGGAGAATATATGTGTAGTTAGCATGCTGATGTGTCGAAATTTATCCGGACACTATATGAATTGATGTCAGTCTCGCTAATCATGTGGGAACAATAATAAGGGCTGCACATTTGCGCATTATCAGATAAGTCTTATGATCATCTGACATCCATTAGCTATTCAAGGAGTGACGATATACGAAGTTTAAGGAGCAACCTATCCTCACCTTTCAGCCTCTCAAAGTGTCCGGAGACTTATGACAAAGTGCCAGGTTGGTCCACTGTAGCATGACACGGCTGCACTGTAGAGCATGCTCAGTGAGCAGCAGACATAACCGTGTTCGTTCCTTTGCTCGTACTCTTTGGCCATGTTCGTAAATACTTTAGAGTTGCCCGGTATTGACTGCGACAGCTGATTTCCAAAGACTCTCTTGGGAAACCCAATCTCTGTTTCTGCGTATGGTTTTCCCACTCTGAATGACTAGTAGAAACACTAGACCAATTTTCAAGACCCATGCCCACTTTTTGTTTCTGTTTGTTAACTCTTTGTAGACCAGAGCGACCAGGAGACAGAAGCCCATACTAGGTAGGTAGAGGACTCTCTCAGCTATGACAAAGCCCACGGGGAAGAAGAGGTTGGAGGCTGGGAGGTAGGGGAGGACCATGAGAGAGAAGGAGAATAAAACGGAAGTCTTTTCTCTCCAAACGGCTTGTGTCAGTAGAAATGCGAGGAAGACAAAGAGAGTGAGAGTCAACAAGTTCCTCAAATCAGCCAATGACAACACCAAAGGGACTGTACCTACAGTTTGTATAAAATTTTGAATTCACAACATTTTCCCTTTAACTCAGAGACCCTGTAATTGTTAACATCAGAGTGTGTCATGAGTACAAGAGTGCAAAAGACTGTTACCATTGGCCCAGTCGGCACATAGAGGGCTGGGGTTGAGAAGAAGCCATGCATTAACCCAGCAGAGATAGAGCCAGTTGAGCTGTCTGTAAGGAGTGGGTTCCAGGACTGCCGGATTTGTCTCCTCACTGGATGGACCCGAGAGAGAGAGGTGGGTGAAGGGGAAGGGAAAATAAAGGCACACAGAGGTATACAAAACAAGAGAGAAGAAAGACTTGTTGCTTTGAATGCAAACACTCATAGAATAGCAGTTCATGGTAAGATTTGATAAGTATGAGATTAGAACTTTGGCAAGAAAATCTTTTGGAAGATTACTTCTTCACTAGTGGACTGCTGTCTGGAATAGCTATTATCGAACAAAAATTTCACCTCCCTCTTGAAATAAAGTCATGTTTCTTACAAGTAGAAAGTTGGCATGGATCCTCCCATAACTCTCAATCTGAACGTCATGAAAATGACGGTAAAGAACGCCAGGACTACTCCTCTCATAGCAAACCCCTTCAACTGGACATGTGATATGGAATCACTGCGGTTGAGCTTCATCTTGAGTTGCAACAACACCGCTGTGTCAATCTGAAAAAGAGAGTTTTAGGATTGATTACAGAGGAACCCCTCTAATCCAGACAACAGAAGAAAGTGTCCATATTAGTGTACTATAGGGTTAAATTGCATGCAAAATACGTTTTCTTAGGGAAAGAAACGCGGTTTACTTCCTAGAGATGTCTCCTCATTTCAGAGGTGTCCTTATATACCTATTGTGCTGGTTTGACATACCTTCACAGTGTACAGGGCATCATACGCCATGCATACAGCCACTGCAGTAATGCCTTGTTCTTTGCTCAATGCAGAGCACAGTACAGACACCATTGCTGTGAAGAACCAGCCGACTTTCACTCCACCTACGATCATAACAGCAGCAACCATCATTAAGTGACGAACGGCTAGCACAGAAATTTATTTCCTCAGCAGATTAATGCACCTGCGGTTGCTGGCGAGTCGCATGATAGAGTTTTTATTGATAAAGAGCTCCTACCTTGTTCACCGGTCGTTGCCTTTCTGTAGCAAAAGATGGAGAAGAGGTAGAAAATTGAGCAGAGAAGCTCAGCCCTACCAACCACTCCTGCGACCTACAGAGTGCATTAAAAAAATGTGAAAACTTTTGGGGACGGAGAAAGAAATTTTATCTGTAAAGTTTTAGTTGTGATGCTTTCTGTGAGGGTATAGCTATATAAAGTGGGATGTAGCTAAGGTAAACAATGTATATGTCTTCTCCACATAAGCTATGATGTAAGCAGCTAAGGTGAGTTTCCCACTATATATTGTGCTATAATTGAAGGGGTCAGAGCCAGAGTGGGCCAACCCTCACTATACAACTCTTGCCGGTTTTTGGACATTTAGAACATATTTGAAGGAAAAACGGCAAAGAGTTGTATACTGAGGATTGGCCCACTCTGACTCTGACCCCTTCAATTATAGTCTTATAGTAGTCCCATGCATTACAGGTTCTGGGCCATCCCATAGAATACTATGGCGACACTATCATTATCCCATTGCCAGCTATAGGGGCAGTTGTGGCTGGTAGTTTCGTGCCTTTTGCCAGGATTTTTCAATGAGGATTAGATTAGGAGAGTTTTGTGGGATGTGCATTCCTTTCCCATGATAATTTACCCACAAATGTGTACCTAGCATTACCATTCACCAATGAGGAGCTATTGATTTTGTTGGCATTTCATTACCAATGACCATACATTATGTCAACATGTTGACTGACAACTAGCTACAAGCCGAACTATTCACAATCAGAAGACATATGAAAGCAATTGGGTCAATTTATACCTGGTTACCAATGGATTTTACAGATACCTGTAACATACCATAGGTTACACATATAACCCACATCACACACTATCACACGGCTAACACACAGTATTGACTATTCTCTATATTTCCACAAGTTTTATTCGTTTGATATGCTTACCGCCTCAGTGTGTATGGGGTGGACTGCAAACAGTAGTCCAGCTATCAGTGCCGGCCACACTTCACTGAAGACCACACCACACAGCAGTACGTACAGGTAGACCACCGCACTGTGCAGGAGCACGTTCACCAAGTGGTAGCCCAGCGGCTCCAGCTCGTGCAGCATGTAGTTCAGCCGAAAAGTGGCCACCGTCAGAGGACGATACGACTTGTGACTGGTTTTCTCTGTCATCGAAGCTCCCCAGAAATCATCTTCTAAAAGATGCGTCCACGGGGTATGCGGCCGCAGATCTTGATTTAGTAAAATTGCGCTCTCGTCATCAAAACAGTAGCCGCAGTCCAGAGTGTCTATGTACAGTATAAACGCAATGGCGGAGCAAATCAGGGCCGCTTCTTGCAACTTCATATCTCTCACATTTACCGGTGAAAAGAACGGGACTACTACACATTCGAGGATAGATTTTCGCATCTACACGCATGCGCATAGCGGTTGTATATACGCGCCGCGCGCGCTCCGGATTACGTAACGTTATATGAACGTAATTGGAATTAACCCGCATAAAGCCGCGGATTCCGGGAGAGGTGGTTTAGATGTTGTTGCGGTGATGTTTCGCCTCGTCGTAAACGGAATATCCAGCGACTATGGCGTGCAAGACGGAGTCCGGTTCGCGGTGAGTTCGCCCGCGGCTCGTTTTCGCGCGCAAGCAGCTCTCCCGTTTGTTTACTTCTCGTGGGCCGAGTCGAGGGTCGGAGAAGGGGGGCGTTGCCTCCTATATTGTATGCGCTGAACGATCGATGCAGACTGTGCAGTGGAGCATTTCTCTCGCATTCCAGTGCAAGCGTTTCCTAAACCAGTCGAAACAGTTTGGGGCACACGCTGAATAGTTCTCTGTTTAGCAGATCAGCTTTCTTCCAAGCTGTATACAATCTTACTAAGAAAACTGAAAGTATATGCGCATAATTAGACTTTATGTGTTTTTGGAACAATAAAAATGTCTCTCTTTAGCTACGTATGTGCTGCGCGAGCCTGATATTTTACAAGTCAGATCCTGTGTGGCTATTACAATATTATTACTACACAGATGTGATTGCACATTGATGCTTTTGTCGATACGTGTTCAGGCATGAGCGGTAATTGATTTGACGTGGTGTTCTGCAAGACAAAGGCAGGGAGATATGCGACCTTTGTGCTAATAGCTGGAGGGTACAGACACAGAGCATTAGCTGGCCGACCTCCCCCACCCATCGCACACTTTATATTATTTCACGGAGAATTTGACAAGCGACGTGCTAGACTAGCTTTTATTACACTAGCTATTCCAAATAAGGTATCATGTTCTTTCATTAAAGCATTCGATAGTAGTTTATATTATTTTTAACAACTTTCGCATCAGAACAGTATGTAGTTGCACTAAAAATATATTTCTGTTTTTGAGTCTGCTTTGTTGCCCAGTGAACAGATTATTAGATTTGTGGACATTTGAGCTGAACTTATTGCATTGTGCGGCCTCTACTCAGGTCACGGTCTAACCTATTGAACCATGTTAAAAAAAGTATAATGCATCAGTATACAATACAAGTTGGACAAGGCTTTATATTTTTTGCCCACAAGTTAATAAAGATGTATTTCACTGGCACCACATCCAGTAAGCTTGGCAACGGCGTTGAGACAATAGCGTTCAAAATTAGATGACCTAGCGATGATGTAATCGTTTTTTCCCTGCAGAAACTTGTCGGTGAGATTAGTTGCAGTTGTGTGTGCAGCCATTGGATTTGCCGTCTACGTTAATAGTCTCGATTGCGGATTTTGTTTCGACGACTTATCAGCAATCACTGAAAACCAAGATTTGAGGTCAGTTTTGATAAGGCAAAAGAGTCTGTTTATTTACACACATATAACTTTACAGACCAGATACTCCGTGGGTGGAGTTACTCCGAAATGATTTTTGGGGTACCCCAATGCACATTGAGGGAAGTCACAAGTCGTATCGGCCTCTGACGGTGGCCACTTTTCGGCTGAACTACATGCTGCACGAGCTGGAGCCGCTGGGCTACCACTTGGTGAACGTGCTCCTGCACAGTGCAGTGGTCTACCTGTACGTACTGCTGTGTGGTGTGGTCTTCAGTGAAGTGTGGCCGGCACTGATAGCTGGACTACTGTTTGCAGTCCACCCCATACACACTGAGGCGGTGAGTCAATATTTGCGATGCCTTTAATTGAGTTCATGGTCGGTTTAAAAAACCTGTTGTTTACTTTGGGCATGTGGGAGGAGGGCGTGAATATATAACTTGCATTCCCGACTAATGCAGAGAGTGTTTGATATATCTGCCTCTCTCCAGGTAGCAGGGGTGGTTGGAAGAGCCGAAACACTCTCGGCTATTTTTTTCCTACTTGCTCTCTTCACCTACAAGAGAGCTGCCCTGGGAAAAGGTGAACAAATTCATCTGCTTTCACTGAGGCTCTATAATAATATATACCAACTGAGCTACTCTCAACTGGCTGTTAATTCCAGCCAACTCGAGTGTGGGGGGGGGATCGGAATTTATTTTTAAAAATTTGAGGGGTGCTCACTGTTAATAGCCCAGGGGTAAGAATTATGCAATATTGTGTCAGCTGAGCTGTTTGTCTGCATAGCTAGGGTGAACCACCCATTGTTGGAGCAAATGATGATATTGGATGACATAATCAGCTGTCCTTGTCTGCATACCACATTCGATCCTTGCCTCTCCTCCTCCTCCTCACAAACCTCCCGTAATCCGACCACATTTTCCGACAGTATTTTTCACTCAGCCCAGTATCAACACGTCGCCACCACCGCCCTGCCTACATATGTAGTATACAACTGCCGTGTCATGTGACGTCGTGTTTATTTGTCATGGGGACAAGTTTTTACTTTTATCCTCTAAAAAAATACAGTTTTAGATTTAGAATATGCTGTCTTTCACTGCTAAGTTTATGAGCCTGAATCGCAAGCAAACATAATTATATTCCCCACATTACCTCGCCAATTAATTATACACACCCCTCCCCCCTTGCAGGCTGAAAGATTAATGTAATCTTTGTCCCATCCTCACAACACACTATAGCCTCATTACCACAAGGTCTAGTCATTCAACATCTGCACCTTTCAGCCACGCGTACAATAAAGTAACGCTATACCTCTGAATACGTACGTAGTTCGACTCCACACTATAGCAGTTATTTTTGGCCTTTTTTGAAGCAAGGAGTGTCGGTCGTCTCGTGTTTTAGCCTCGTATTCCCTGGTGTGCTATCATTGCATGCCACACAAGATGCGGCGGCGATAGCTTGGCGAGTTTCATTGTTGCATTCTTTCACCGTATAATGATTAGACCTGGAATGTGAGGTCATAGCATGATGAGTCCTTGGGGGCACGTTAATTGTGTGAGGTCCACTGGTGAAAATGTTGCGGTATTCTTTTACCGGATATTTTCTTACTTCCCCCCCCCTTCTCTCATCGACAAGGCTGGCAGTGGATTTCTCTAACTCTCCTCATGGCAGTGAGCTCGGTGCTGAGTAAAGAGCAAGGCATCACTGTCGTTGCAGTTTGCTTCACAATCGACGTCTTCCTCGTCCAAAAAGTATAGTTTACACTCTTCATGCAATTTGGCAGTTGCGGCATTTTAACACTTGTTCCAATTTGTAACTCTGCACGTTTGCTAGCACACACCCTTATGTGGATATATAGCTACCTCTCTCTGTACAAATGCAGCTGGATTTATGGTCACTGCTATCATCTCTCACATCTTTAACCCCCTCGAAACCCTTGCCTCCTCGTTGGCTCCGCCCACTGCTGCTCCGCGGCGCCCTCCTGGCTGTGTTCACCATGGCGATCATGGTTGTCAGGGTGAAGATCATGAAAGCTGAACTCCCCGTCTTCACAAAGTGAGTGGGGTGTCCTGATTAGTGAGGTGTCCTGATTAACCTTCAAGACGTTTATATCCTGTAGCCATGACAACCCGGCGGTAACCTTGGAGATGCCATACCGACAGCTCCACTGGACCTATCTCTGTTTCGTCAACTCCTGGCAGCTTCTCAACCCTTCTTTCCTCTGCGCCGACTGGACCATGGGGACGATCCCTCTCATTACCTCATTCAACGATCCACGAAATTTGCTCACCGTGGTTACTATCGTTGCTATGGCGATGCTCTGTCTCTATGGGGTGTCGGAAAGAGCTCACAAATCGGTCGTGGTGGCTCTTTCGTTTATTGTCTTCCCCTACCTCCCGGCCTCCAACCTCTTCTTCCCCGTGGGCTTTGTAGTGGCTGAGAGAGTCCTCTACCTACCTAGTATGGGCTTCTGCATGCTGGTCGGCTTCGGGGCCTGGAAGATGCTGGCAAAAACCGGTTCCAAACCGGTAAAACTCGTCCTCGTTTCAGGTCTCGCATTTGTTTTGCTGGCTCACTCGTCGAGAACCCTCGTCAGAAACAGGGATTGGTTTTCAGATGAAACTCTTTTCCGAGTGTCGGTACGTGACAATCCGTCCAACGGCAAAGTCTACAACAACCTCGGACATGAGATGGAGAGGAGAGGGAATACATCGTTTGCCGAGAGACTGTTTCGCAAGGCGGGCGAGGTGCAGCCGGACGACGTCGGGGCATTCATCAACCTCGGACGCACCTTGAAACAACTGGGGAAATTCGAGGAGTCGTGAAAAGGTAAAAAAATTACATTAAATTTTCCGAGCCATTGATAAGGAGTGTAAATGATATAGCACTGACTCACACACTTTAGCTCAACCAGAGAATAAAGCTAAAAACCTGGACATGATTGACTGGATGAAGTGTGAATAAATAACACCATCTCTCTGCTTCTTCCTTGTAGGCGTACCAGGAAGCAATAGAGTTAATGCCGACGGGTAAGACGTTTCGAGTGGCCCCGAGTCACATCAATGTGTATTACAACCTGGCAAACCTCATAAAGTCAGACCCACTCCGCCTGCAAGAGGCGTACAATCTCTATCAGACTGCAATCTCGATGAAGCCCGATTTCATCGAGGCCCATCTGAACAAGGGCGACGTGCTGCTAAAACTGAATCGGACGCGCGACGCCAAGACTTCGTTCGAAAAGGCCTTACACTACAACCCGCGGTACACCGATGCCCTGTTTAACCTGGGGACGGCTCATCTTCAACTGGGAGAGAAGACGGAAGCAGAGAAGTGTTACCGACAGGCGTTGGCAATGGACTCTCGTCACTCCTACTCCATGCTGAGTCTGGCTCTCCTGATCAAGGACGACGAGGAGAGAGAGAGAAAGGAAGAGGCTGAAACTCTGTAAGTTGCTCAAATCAATGCTTAACCAATGTTCCTTACTTAAAAAGAGCACTAAGGCTTGAAAATTCGGAACTACTCACAAAAAGTTAGTCACTCCTGTTTCATTACCATCTATATACCTGAACAATTTGTGGCCCTTTTGCCTCAGAAAGCCAATGGTGAATCTGGTAATCATCTATATATTGCTCTTTCTCATTGTGTGAAAAATGGTGTATCTTTGAAAAATTGTTTATATCAATAATCCACATACAGACTCCGGGAAGTATTGTCAGTGGATCCTAGAAACAGCCGTGCAAGTTTCCACCTCGCTCTTGTCTACGTCGACCTTCAGCAGATCGAGAAATCCGAGGAATTGTTTAAACGGACGCTCTCCCTCGATCCCGAGTACCGCAGTGCCCTGTACAACCTCGGTCTCCTCTATAATCACCTCAAACGCTACGAGGAAGCCGTGGAAGTGTTGACGAAGTTCGTGGACCTTCAGCCGGACCACGCCTCGGGGGCTCAGGTCCTGGGGGATTGTTTCATGAGATTGTCGCAGCGAGACAGGGCAGAGGAGATGTACGAGATGGTTCTGCGGAGACATCCAAATCACACCATTGCACTGCACAACCTGGGTAAGTAAGTAAGTAGCTATGTATGTATATAAGTAGGTCCAAAATCTCAAAATCTAACTGGTAAAACATAGTGTAAGTGGTTTATAATTATATTTCAGTTTTTTGGCTTTCTGCTGCGAAAGAAAGTGTTTTTGTCGCAAGGTGTGAGTGTACTTGATGCCCGCTGTTCTTCCTTCTTTTCTTACAAATAAAATTTCCTACGATTTCCCAGAGCCAGTTTTCACTGCAACTGACTTTCATACACAGTTTTAGTCAGTGACGTCTTCATCATCACATTTCTGCAATAATAATTATAGGAGTGGCTAAAGCGGAAGCTGGAAATTTCACTGAAGCGATCCGACTGTTCTCACGGACTCTGGAACTGGACCCGCGTCACAAGGCAGCGAGACGACATCTGGAACAGGCAAAACAGCAGCTCGATTCCACGGCAACCACCACAAACACCAGGAGAAACAGAAGATGACCACACCCACCATTTATCCCTGTAGGAACATGAATATGTTTTGTAAGCATCCAGATTCTGGTAGGGTGGCTTTTTTTAATTTTTTGGTGATTTTTGAATTCATTCCCCCGACCATCTTGGCTAGTTGTCTGCGCATGCGTACATTGTGCATGCGGCGGAGCGAGCTGCGATATATACTACTACTCTCTGGCGCCCGCCCATGGCATGCGCAGGCGGGCGCGCGGGAGTGTCCGTCAACGCTAATGGACACTGCATTCTCCTCCGGCGAAAGTCGGAATGTGAAGCAATTGGGTGAGGCATCTGCATAGATACTATAGCTATTCCGTATGGTATCTGTGTACAAACCGCTCGACCTCCGTCGTTTCTACGGAAGGGAGCCACCGTCGCCATGCTAATGGCGCTACGAAGCCGGAAAGTGTGCGGACAACGACGCTAGCCCTGAATCTGCGATCGAAAAGAAGTGCGGGTTCTGCGAATATAGCTTAGTGACTGCTGTGGTGACAGAATTCCTGCAAAATGGAGTTGAGTGTGCAGCGAGCGGCCCTGGTTAGCGCGGCGGTGGGTTTCGCTCTCTTCTTGAACTCTCTGGGGCTAGACTTTTGTCTGGACGACGAGGCGGCCATTATAAGGAACCAAGACCTGCTGGGAAACGCTTCCTGGTTGAGTCTGTTCCGCCACGACTTTTGGGGAAAAGACATTAGTGATAGAGATAGCCACAAGTCGTATCGTCCTCTGACGGTGGCCACTTTTCGGCTGAACTACATGCTGCACGAACTGGAGCCGCTGGGCTACCACTTGGTGAACGTGCTCCTGCACAGTGCAGTGGTCTACCTGTACGTACTGCTGTGTGGTGTGGTCTTCAGTGAAGTGTGGCCGGCACTGATAGCTGGACTACTGTTTGCAGTCCACCCCATACACACTGAGGGGGTAAGCAACATTATCAACCTCATAATCAGCTCATAAACGTGTTAATCAATAGGTTTCAGGAATAGTTGGAAGAGCTGATTTAATGTGTGCCCTCTTTGCCATCATCTCCCTATTCTGCTACCGAAACTCTCTTGAAATAAGAGCAAATGGTGAGTTGACAAACACCCACACAGATATCCATACAAATGAACCACAAGCTTTCTCTATTGCGTATGCAGCTCGACGGAGAGTGTTTTGGTTTGTGCTGTCGCTAGTCAGCACACTATGTGCTGCACTATGCAAGGAAATTGGTATCACTACAAGTCTGCTTTGCCTGGCTTATCAAATATCTTTCCACAAGAGAAAATCTAGCGTAAGTTCGAATCAGCTTATGGTATATCATAATAATATGCGTATATAGTTACTACCATTAAATGTGCTTTGTTTGGGTTAAGATAGTAACTTGTAATGTACGGCGGAGATAAACAGCACCTGGTTATCATTTTGCGCAGACACAACAGGGAGTTGTAAGACCACAGGCGAGGCAATCAAGTGTCTACGATCTTTTGTCGGCACTGCGAGAGACCGTACCGAGAGGCTTAGTTCTAATGATGTTCTCCGTCTCGTTCCTGTGGGCGAGATTGAAACTTAACCAAGGGCCACCTCTTTTCCACGTGTAAGACAACACGATCCCCTGATATCAGCACAATCGTATAAGATCTCTATTCTGTTTCAGTGACAATAATCCAGCACTGGGATTCCCGACTCCGTTTCGCCAGCTCCACTGGAGCTACTTGTGTGTGTACAATGTGTGGCTGCTACTGAGTCCCTCCCAGTTGTGTGCCGAGTATGCCATGGGCACCATCCCCCCCGTTACCTCCCTCTCTGACCCCCGCAACCTCCTGACTCTGGCCACCTTTGCCGGCCTCCTCTCCCTCTCCTGCTACTCTGCCAGCTACAGCCACAGCCACCACAGGAAGATCATGTTTGGACTCTGTCTCACTGTCCTCCCCTTCCTCCCAGCCTCCAACCTCTTCTTCCCCGTCGGCTTTGTCATAGCTGAGAGAGTCCTCTACATCCCTAGTATGGGCTTCTGTCTCCTGGTCTCGTACGGCTTCCACCTACTTGTATCGAGACCAATCATCAAATATTTTAGCTCTCTGGCAAAGATTGTCCTAATTTTCCTACTACTCGCGCAATCGTTCAAGACTCTCTCTAGAAATTTCGAATGGAAAGACAATGTCATGTTGTTCACATCAGCTCTACGGGTGAGCCAGACGAGCGCGAAGATGTGGAATTTTGTTGGAAATACTCATTTCAAGGCCGGGAACAATACACTGCCAGAGCCATACTTTAGAAAATCGCTCGAAGTTGAGCCACTTTTTCCTCCGGCCCATATTAACTTGGTCCGGATTCTCAAGAGGCAAAAGAGATTTGAAGAAGCTATAGAGGTATGTAAATTAAGTTTTTACCCTCGGCGCGCATGCGCAGCGAGGGTATCTGTCTGTCTGTCTGTTAATTCACCTCTCGAATGTCTGTTCGTCCCAGAAACGATACCATCTACCCAACGGGCGACGAAGGTCAGAAAATATGTGGGGTTTTCTCTGATAATGCTCCGTTGCAGAGCTAGAGCGCTTCCAGCATTGTATGGCTAATGCCGGTAGTCGCCATTTTATCGCTGGCGGATAATGCGCATGCGCTTATATTTAGCACAAGTTCGACCGGGTCCGCTTGCTCTGTCTATCTTGAAGGCACAAGAAGTCACAACGAATGAATAGCGTGTATCGACTCTCGCGTGCTATCTACTACTGTAGCTAGCCCACTCTCTGCGAGCTACTTCGCCGAGGGTTTGCACTTCAATTTACACTGTTCCCATTCAAGTAATGGTGGTGGTCTCTTGATCGTGAGGTCCCTGGTTCGATCCCGGGGGGGTGTGCGCCTTTTTTACAATGATGTAATAGGAGTGTTGGTATATATATGGAACGTTTTTTCATCACCTCTCAAGGCCAGCCCGAGTGGCTAGGTGGTTTAGAGTCGTGGGGACTGACACCATAGGTGCCCGGTTTCGAATCCTCGATCCCGCAACTAAAGTGTCAGGTGGTCCAGAGCATTGGCTGGGAACAGCTCTGGTTCTATCCCTGTTTGTATACCATTTATCAACCTTTCCCCCTTC